AGTTACAGGATGAGAGCTACGGTTGTGGTGTCCCGTCTTCCCAGCACTCTTTGTCGCATAACGCTTTGAAACTAAGTGTTGTTCTATTGTTAATGTTCTGCTGTTGTTAATGTTCTGCTGTTGTTAATGTTCTGCTGTTGTTAATGTTCTGCTGTTGTTAATGTTCATGTGTTAATGACCACATGTTTGCAACTTGTCAACATTTCATCCAAAGCAACATACCAGAGCTGTGCACATCACATATCAACACACATTACACCCAACATTTCCATTTTCAAAGCAGAAATCATCACAGCAACACAAATCTCCAACACACTTTCCCAATTCCTTTTTCACGAACACAAAAACCTCAAAACACTTCAGTTTCACATGAACAAAATTTCACATTCACGTACACAAAATGTGACAAAATAAACACAATTTATTAAACGTATACATTGAAGAATTGTTTAATATAAATAAAAAAATACAAATACATATTTAACAATATTTTTTTAGCTTGTTGACTTATAAATGAATTAGATAAATGGTAGAAAGACATTGAAGAATTGTTTATATTAAATAAAAAATATAAAATACATATTTAACATATTTTTTTTAGCTTGTTGACTTATAAATGAATTAGATAAATGGTAGAAAGACATTGAAGAATTGTTTATATTAAATAAAAAATATAAAATACATATTTAACAATATTTTTTTTAGCTTGTTGACTTATAAATGAATTAGATAAATGGTAGAAAGACATTGAAGAATTGTTTATATTAAATAAAAAATATAAAATACATTAACAATTTTTTTTTAGCTTGTTGACTTATAAATGAATTAGATAAATGGTAAAAAGAAGCTCCAGTCAGTTCTATAATCCTGGCATCATCTATTGACTTCTGAAGAGGAAATTAAATCTTAAGTAGCTATAATTATCAGATATCAGAGTCGGAAACGGGTAATATTTTCTCCCTTTGTGAGTGTAAATGACATTAAGCTCGGCACTAAATATATTTAAGTTCCTGTAACTTTTTGAGATTCTATTTCTTATCTATTATAACTTTTGTTTTATATCCTAAAAGTTTTAAGATTAAATAATTCCTAAGATCTTATATAATTATTTTAAAGTCGTATAATTTTCCTTAAGATCCTAAAACATTTCTTTTTAAAACTTTTTTTTAAGATCCTGTATCTTATTTTTATCCTATATCTTTTTTATCATAAATCTTTTTTTTATCCTATATCTTTTTTATCCTATATCTTTTTTATCCTATATCTTTTTTATCCTATATCTTTTTTATCCTATATCTTTTTTATCCTATATCTTTTTTATCCTATATCTTTTTTGTTAAACCCTATAACTTTTGTTTAAGATTCCATAACTGTTATTAATGATCCTTTAACCTTTCTATAAATCCTATAACTTTGATTTAGTATCATATAACGTTTGTTTAAAATCTCATAACTTTGATTTAAATTTCTATGACTTTCTTGTTATCTAGGATCCCAGTTCTCTACTTTAAACTACAACAAAAAAGCAATTTTAGACACGAATTTGTTGTTTTCAAGAACATTAAAAGTACCATTATGATTATGCAACGAGCTCTGAAATTCACCAACGAACAATTTCAACGAGAAATTGCTTCGTTGATGATTTCACAATGTGAAAAAGATTCGAAGTGAAATCCGATCACCAAGAAGCTATACATAATTCGTAAAGAACCACGAACGACGAACAACAGACACACTAACGGCCTGATGTTCCAACATCCGTGCCAGCAACTTTACGAATAAACAACACAAACTTGCCTTCGTAACACATTATCAAGTCAGCTACATATTAACCAACTTTGCTCAGTGTTAAGTATTTCTTTTAATTTAGTGTAAATACCCAGTTTCATTTGTTATAACAAAATTTGAATACGATTTAGTGTATGTATATATATAGATATATATATATATAGATATATATATATATATATAGATATATATATATATATCTATATATATATATAAAGTGTTCTAAAGTTATATATATATATATATATATAACTGAGAGAGAGAGAGAGAGAGAGAGAGAGAGAGAGCGAGAGAGAGAGAGAGAGAGAGAGAGAGAGAGAGAGAGAGAGAGCGAGAGAGAGAGAGAGAGACTCATACAAAACCACGAATATGAATAATAAACAAAACAGGTCTTCCAAAACCAGCAACAACAAGTTAATCAATCACTGCTTCTGAACCAGAATAAAATTAACAATCGGGACCCTGAGAGACATTACAAACTTATATACACATTGATTTCCCAACGTAAGAAACACAAACCCTACTCGACAGAGTTCTAGGAGGAGAGGTGGGAAAAAATATCTTAAATTATAAGACAAACTCCAAGGAAAAATGTTTCCTTGTATCTCCATCCCATCCTCCTGTTTTGATAGTATTTATAGGAAAAATGAGGACCATAATACATATACCGACTTACAATGCAATTAGAAAGTACAAATCGGTACTATTGACTTTGAACACACCGGAAAACGAGTTTCAATTTACGTTGCAAAGGCAAATCAATTTAATCCTTCTAGGCCTATTACACACTATCTAAGGCCTAATATAGTACATATGTATGCTATACTAGACCCATGAAAATTTAAGCTAGTTTTTTAGTTTCATTTTTCGGATTCTTATGAAATAGTACAAAGTTCTGAACAAATCCACAAGGGCCGTGACGAGGATTCGAACCTGCGTCCGGGAGCATCCCAGACACTGCCATAATCGACTGAGCTAATATGACTGAGCTGATGCCTTAATCGGGTCTCGTCACGGCCCTTGTGGCTTTGTTCATTTGATGCATCACGTTAGTGTGATCTCTGTGTGTGTAATGTAGTACAAAGTTCTACTATATAACTGCTTACAACGTCAATCTTTGTACTATGGCGTAGTTACAAAAACTAATATATAAACAAGAGAATGGGTTGATATTTAGGGCATGTAATAGTTTTTCTGAATGTTGACCAAACCACACACTAGAAAGTGAAGGGACGACGACGTTTCGACTTGAAAATGCTCCACAATCGACTTGAGAATGGTCCAGGACGGACCGAAACGTCGTCTTCCCTTCACTTTCTAGTGTGTGGTCTGGTCAACATATTTCAGCCACGTTATTGTGACTCCCTCGTGTGCTGGTCTTCTGAATCAGGTCCAGAACGTGTTTTCACTTTTTGCAAAAATACTGTCAGGCCTTGGCAATGCATGTATTGTTTTTTCCTTGTATTTGGTTTCCTGGTTCACTTTTTAATACACTTGGGATTTTCCTCTCTAGTCGGCCTTCCGCGAGACATATTCTTGAAATACACCAACCCGTTCTCGCACTTTCTTATAGTCAATATTGATTATTAAATGAGTGCATATGTGACATACTAAACATACTAGTTTACCTTGAAAAGCTTCATAGAAAACACCGACCTTACCTAACCTTCTTAGTATGTTAAGATAAACATCTTATTGCTTCGTAAATACAACTATTACTTAACCTATACCTATAATAGGTTAAGTAATAATTGTAATTACGAAGCAATAAGATGCTTATCTTAACATACTAAGAAGGTTAGGTAAGGTCAGTGTTTTCTATGAAGCTTTCAAGGTAAACTAAAATATTCACAATAAATTAATATGTCACATATGCACTTATTTAATAAGTCAATATTGACTTAAAGTGCGAGAACGGGTTGAATACACAGCCGAGGAAGGTGTTGTTAAGTTCTTAAGTTCATGGGGATGGTGGGGCCGGGGGAATGCTGAGCCTGGAATCAAAGGCATGTGCCGAACTTGGAAGTTCAGCATTCGTCTGTGTGCTGAACTTCAAAGAATTGAACTTGCTGAACAGAAAAAAGAACTTAAGAGTGGACATACTGGATATCCCACACCAGAGCCACGCAGGATAACAAGGGTAGCATATGCTATACTGGCAAACGTCCCGTTATCCTTCAACAACTTGGACAATGCTTCCAAATATACCTCCTTTGTGACTTCTATTATTGAGTCTGCTGCCTCAAGCACAGAACCGACAGCTGGGACAAAGAAAACTTGAAAATATTTCAATACAAGGAAAATGGCTTATTTTTAGCTAAGAAAACCCAGCT